TCAGTTGCAAGATCCACGATCACTCTCTGTCTTTCTGATTCACACAGGTACCGACTTCCTCCTGAGCAACCTTCCTTCACTTGTCTTGAGGGTGGCCATTCCTGCCTTCTCTTTCCACCTGGCTGACAGGTACACCTTCATTCCTCGGTCCCCTGACAACTTAGTGGCCCAAAGGACGTTGCCCTGTCACCTCTACAGCCCCTCTGTGATTGCATCCTGTCTCTGGGCTTTAGCGCCAGCTACAGACTGGTGGTGCTTGTGTTTCTACCTGCAGTCACACCTCTTTCCTGGTCCCCAAGCTTACCCAGCTGCTTGTTCAGCATCTCCACTCGGATGTCTCCTGGGCATCTCAAACCTGGCACGTTCCAGGTTGGATTCTGGTTGTCCCTGTAAACATGCTCCTCCTGCGTGGTTCCCCTCCCACAGCCAGTGCACCAAATCCTGTGGCCCTGGCTTTGGTCTTTGGACTTGCCTTTTCCCTCTTTGATTTCACTTTATTTTTGAATACACAACACATTTATGTGGTTCTAAGTCAAAACAATATTTCAGGGTAGCTGTAGAGGAGACCCACTCCCCTCCCTATGCTCGCTGCCTCGTTTTCCAGTGTGTCCTTTGGCAAAAGTAAGCAAACATCTATTTATTTCCCTCCTTTCCTTCCAGAAAAGTTGGCATCCCCTATGCACTGCCCTGCTTTTTTCACTTAAGATATCTGGAGGATCACTCTAGTTCACAGACTTTTCCTCATTGATTTTCTTACTGAGTCAGTATTTCATCGTATGGGACAGAATGTGTGCCACCAAACCCCTACTGGTGGACATTTGAGTGGTTTCCATCCTTTCGCTATTACAAATAAGGCTGTGATTAATGACAGTGTCTATATGTTGTTTCGAACTTTGGGAGGATAGCGTTAGTGTACTTTCCTGGAACTGGAATGGAAAGAAGCCTTCAACTCTGAGAATTTACACAGGACTCGGGAGGGCGTATTTCCCAATATGCAGTTGTGATATGGTCAGCGGATAATGAAGACGCATAGCGTCCAGGTTTCTAAAGACAATATTCAGGAAGTCACTCCCAGGGAGCATAACTGGGACTCACTCACTACTTCCAGGTTGAGAGCCCTTGGGGCAGTTTCTCTTGGGAATTTCAGAATTGCTGTCAAGCACTGACTGCACTGTTTCTTCTGTTCTCTTTTGGAACTGGCCTCTTGATACTGTTAATTTCAACTCTGCCTATTGATTTTCACTTGCTGAAATCTGTCGATTTCTGGTACAGGGGTGTGGAAGTCCCCAGCTAAGCTAGTGGCCTCATCTATTCCTTTAATTTTCTGCTTGAACATGATCTGCCTAGGTGTAGTTTCGAAGGTCGATTTTCCCACTGGAGGTTCTCTGAGCTTCCTGGACTGGGTTTGGTGTCTGACATTGATTGGTGACTGCGGTGATTCTCAGTCACTGTTGCTTCAAGTATTTCTTCTGCTCTCTCCTGGTAATCCTATAATGTAGTTGTAATCACATCCTGTGGATGTCCCACCATTCTTAAGTATTCTGTTCCCTTTTTCCAGCTGTTTTTCCTCTATGTTCTTTTTTCAGTTTGGAGAAGTTTCTGCTGATATATCCTTAGGCTCATAAAGCTTTCCCTTAGCCATGTCTAGTCTAATCAACCATTAAAGGCATTCTTTATTTTATACAGAACTGGGGTACAGGCCAGAGGTGCAGATGCCATGAGAGGATTTACCAGAGACAGAGTGGGGAGCAGAACAGGCAGATCGACGAAGTACACTGCTGAGGGGAGCAGC